TTATCGAGACCATCATTAAAACTTGAAAGAAAGTTCAAATTACCCTAGGTCGCATAGCTGAATTTATACACAATAATATGAGTAGACCCCACATTTCCAATGAATTTTACATAGGCTTGATTCCAAAGAGGAATACTTGTCCAGGTTATAATGTATTTTCAGACACGTCTTGGGGAAATTAAACCCGAATTGTTTAATCTCAACAGGTTATTACTAGGCCACACAACTCATATCATTGTGGAAAAATTCAACTTTTCGACCCAGGTTTATTATAGCTCTAATTCAAGAGTCACTGATAACCTTGACAGCCTACTTCAATTGATTATAAGTAGCGCAGTCGATCTTAATGGCAAAATACAATTTGTCCTTTCATAAGTAGGTAATTCTGAAACCTCCTTACAAGCAAAAATAAGAGTTGAAGTCGATTTCTTTAGCAAATGCAACTCGGCTTCATCGATAATTTCATCAAAAAAAGTAACCTTTCTCGAAATTCACTACTGTCTGTGTTTTAAAGACACTCGTAGTTAGCATGTCGAGACTGTATGCTGCACTACTCCGGTCCGAGTCCCGCTGTGGTTGCCTATGCAACCTATGCGAGGTCGAAACTGCAGACTGCATTAGATAAGAATACCTATTTGTAATTAAAGCTATGTGGAAACGTACGTAAATCTGAGGCTTATTATATGATTGTGTAAAAAGTCAACTCTCTTTCCTTCATCACCCTTAAACGGCTTAACCAAGATGTGATTTTCTCACTTCCTACTGCCTATCGTGTCATCGGTATAGATCAGCAACGGCGTCGAGTGTATTATCCTTAACCGAGCCTACTTCCTGCGTTACACGTCCGAGTCCCTACGGGACGCATGGGCACGAGGAGCTGGTCCAGGTCTGGCCAATGCGGTCTTGACTCTGGCCAGAGCTCGCCAATTCGAGACCCAACTACAGGACGCCTGGCGAGCGAACGAGAGCCATTGTAGAGAGGGCCAGTGGCGACGAGTCGACTGGGCCGACGACTGGCGACGGAGTGGCAGGTACCTGCGGCAGATGAGAGTGCTGAACCGGTCGTCCGAAACCACTCCAACTTTTGCGGAGGCTACGCGTTTTACTGGCCGGACGATTCACATAAACTCACGTCGACACCGATTTCAGGGTAAATACAAACCGCATCGTGGAACTCAAGGGTCGCCTCTGCTCTTCAAGGCACCTTTCAG